TGTGTGTGTGTGTGTGTGTGTGTGTGTGTGTGCGTGTGTGTTTGTGTGTGTGTGTTTATCCTACATTGTGGGGAACAATGTCCCCACAAGGATAGTATAACTTGACATTTTTGACATTGTGGGGACTGGCCTGTTTGTCTGAAAGTGTTAGAATGCAAACTGGTTTTCTGTAAGGGGTAGGTTTAGGGTTAGGGGATAAAAAATATTGTTTGGTCAGTATAAAAGTAATGTCTTTGGAAAGGCCCTACAATTCAAAACAAACGCGCGTGTGTGTGTGTACCTTTTCTTTGTTTTGTTTTTTGGTTTCAAAAATTATTTGAAACCGTAACTATTATTTTTACAGAGATGCTAGGTTTTCAGTGTAGCCTCAGACTTTGCATGCATAGCCTATTTATTTAGACTTTTTGTTTGTGTGATTACTACGAGATTTATAACCCGATTAAGTAACTGTACTAATATCACATACAGTACATAAATTATATTAATATTACTACATAACATTCAATATGCATGCTATTTTCAGTGACTGAGGCATGTTTGACTGATTTTTATCTCCAGCAAGTGACAACACTCCCAACCACTGTACAATAGAGGGCGCTACGGCTCAACTTAATTCATCACCTCTGGATATAGATTATATACTTACAGCAGTTTTAATAAATATTACTTGAATTATTAAATGAACACTGTTATAATAAATATGAGGAAGGACTGTCAATTCTAAAAGTTACTTTAAGGGTGAAATTGTAACTTTGACATACTGCTGTACTGCCCTCATAAAACACAGTGGGTACCAAAAATCTCTGAGCTCTTTGAAAACCTTCCTAATTTAAACAGATTTAGAATTGAGACATTTAAAAAAAATAAAAATAAACGCATTTCTAGATGACTAATCAAATAAGCAAATGTGTTACATTGACCACGTGAGCCTCAAGAGGTCAGAAATCAATTTTTCCAATTAACCTTTTCAATAAAATTATGATTTTGACAAATATATTATGTTTTTTTCTTTTTTCCCTTAGGTGTATTAATATTTTAAAATGCAGGTGACATACTAAAAACTAAATCTGACAGTAAAAATAAATCTCAGTCCAAGTCAGTTTTTCACCATGAAAATGTTTATTGGACCGTTAAAATTTCTCATTCTAAGACAGAGTCATGTACGGCATTTGATCATGTGGTCTCTTAATTTAATAAAAACATATGCAGCAATATACACACTAAAACACACAAACAGATGACACTCTCAGAGCTAAGATAGCTATGTTTCTGTACCAGATATACACATTGTTTTCAAACTAATTAAAACACAATATATTCAACACTTACAAAGCACACATTCAACAAATTCCGGTCGATCCTTTGTTCAAACATAATTAACCCACACACACAAAGAGAACAGACAGATCACAGCAGAAATGTACAACATAATCCATGACTGTATCATGCACATACTGATTTAAACAATACTTGTATATAATCTCTGACCTAATTTGTTTTGTACACTTCGAGCACACTCCCTGCATTCAACGGTCAAGTTTGTACTAACCCAGCAAAGTTATTTTTAGACATCCTAACTTTGCAAGGGCAAGTTAAAAATTGCATTCAGATTGGGGCACCCTAAAATGCAACAAGACCGCAATCTCACTGATGCACCATGAGGAGGCTCGAAATATATATTAGGTTACAAAGGGCCTGTCTTATCTCAGAAAGTTAGAGTTCAGTTCTTTTAAAGGAAGAGTTAGGAGAGTGCTCATGGTTGGCTTGGTTAGAGCAATAAACTGGCTCAATACTACAATCACATGAACATAATACATCTTTTTCTTTCTGACCACATTGTAAGTGTGTCACTTTTGCACAAGATGCTCCATTTTTGGATTAATGAATGAGAACCCAGCAAAAGCGTTCTGGTCCATGGAATCGATCAGGCCTTTCTCGCAGTGTGAGAGACGGGGTTTCTCACTCAAAAACTCCCGGTCAAAGTTACTGCAGTCATTTGGAGCTTTCTGCGATTTAAATAAAAACAAAACAAACAAACAAAAAAAAAACAATGAGAAAACGGAGAAAGACAAAAAAAAAATAAAAGAATAAGATGCGAGTGGGAAAACATACCACTTTTGGTCTGAAGGGGGGCTCAACTTCTTTCCTTTCTAAAACAGACCAGTTGACAGTCTTGAAGAACAGGTGGCCTCGTATATTACCCACAATCCCTAAACGGCGTGATGGGTCACGCTCAAACAGCTGTGAACAGATGAAATAAAGATAGTGTAAAAGCAGAAATTTCATTTGTGTTGTTTTTAATGGTGTATTTGTGCATGTGTACCTTTTCGAGCATGTCTCGAGTATCCACTGTGATCCAGCGGGGATAATGAGGTGTGTCCATTCGGATCGATTCAAACAGCTCGTCCTCGTCGTCACCGTGGAATGGAGACTGACCAATCAGCATCTCATACACCAGCACACCAAACGACCACCAGTCTACTGAGAATGAATACTGCTGACCCAGAAGAATCTGTGATTTCCACACACAAACACATCAGGTCAATACCAAGCTATTGTTGGTCTGAGAGTAAACCAACGCCAAAGTGTGTTTCATACCTCAGGAGCAATATAATCTGGAGTTCCACAGAAAGTTGTGGCCCGATTTTCCCCAAACACATTCTCCTTACACATTCCAAAATCAGCTATTTTTATGTGACCATCTCCATCTAACATCACATTATCCAGTTTGAGATCCCTGGCAAAAGGAGAGAGCAACAGTGAAAATGATCCAGAATGCCTTTCTATGAATTCTGAGTGGAGTAATTAATAAATACAGCAAAACAATGGAGAAACAGTTGTGTGTACCTGTAAATAATGCTTTTGGAATGGAGAAACTGCAGGCCACACACTATTTCAGCTGCATAGAACCTGGCAGGAGAAGTCCATTTAATACATTCACTTTGGTGCCATTTACATGCCACATGTACCCATTAAATCAAGGGTTCAACTATATTTTTAAATTATAGAAACTCGTTTATATGCGTATGTGTGACATACGTGGCTCTGTACAGATCAAAACGCCCCTTTTCCTGTATATGAAACATCAAGTCTCCTCCATTCAGATACTCCATCACAAAGAATAAGTGCTCCTGTTAAAGATGAACAAATTTAAAAAAGATTTTTATAGCTAACAATTAATAACCATTCTCCATTAACATATTGTTTGGTACTGTCAGATTTAGTCACTCTGTAGAGCAGGAGGAGCTGTGGTAAAGTTCTTTTTTTTTTTTGGTATAGGACCTCATGAGTCAGGTTTGTGGTTGTTTTTTCTGTAAATGTGTGTGGTGTACCTTGGTTTGAAAAGTGGAGTAGAGGTGTGTAAGAAACGGATTTTCCCAGGCGAGAGCCAGCACTCGTTTTTCTACCATGGTGCACTCCACATCATCATCCATCAACACCACATCCTTCTTTAACGCCTTCACTGCAAACCATTCATCAGTGCCCCTTAGTTCAGCCAACAGCACCTGACGACAGAAAGATGATGAACATGTATTTGTATATAAATGCGTGTTTGAGAGATAGAGACTTTGTTTGTTACCTTGCCAAAGCTTCCCTTGCCCAGGACTTTGTGGAAAACGAAATGCTCAGCAGTGATACGCATTTGGTGGGTGATTCGAGAGGGGGGACGAGGACTCAAACCCTCCCACAGACGACCATAAGGAGCCCCATCTGCAATATATTTTTTATTATTATATTATTTAAATTGCTGTCAAATCAAAATCATATTTTTAATTCTCACAATTAGTTACCCCGAGTCACACCTACCACTAATATCAGGACTTTTATTAAAATCCTGGTAAACCCCAACATCCTGTGTGTTGCTCTGTGAGTTGCTTTCAGGTCGCTTGGTGGATTTCTATGATGGCAAAAATATGCATAAACTTTAAAACATAACAGCATTAATGTGAATGTGAAATAGAGTTTACAGTATATAAGTGCCTCATAACTTGAGCTTGTGCAAACATTAATATTTACAGTTGAGACTTGGGTAAGAGCCTCTGCCAGTAGCTTCTGGTTGATGCCACACAGGTTGGCCACTTTAGTCTGGCACTTATGATGAACATTCATGGAGCAGTCTGAAAGAGAAGAGATGATTGCAAACATATATTCAGGGTTTAATATTAAGACAAGAACCAAATAACAAAATGGCCTTTTTATACCAAGTAATTATAACTAACAAATTTACAGAGTTACTGACCAGTGGCCTGGTAACTACTTTTAAGTATTTCTAAATACTAAAATGCTTTAAAGCATAATGTAAACAGATAATGGCTATCAAATAATTTTGGGCCTTTTCAATACATACACAGTATACTCACCCTCACATTTGAGGCCCTGTTTGACAAGACCCCACAGCAGACTGCCACAATGGTCACAAAAGGTGGGGCTCATGTAGTTGTAGGTCTTAAAGCGATGTGGCATGTCAATCTTAAAACGCTCCTTCTGAAACTGTATGCACACAAAGACTTTAAATAACCATGGCACAATAAAATAAAAAAAAAAGAGAATAGTGTAATACAATTCATACCATAGTGTCTCGACTATTGGCTGCAGTGCCTGTGCACCTTCCGATAATTTTATCAATACACTTCTTGTGGATGGCTGCATTGCATTCTGGTGGAGAAAAAAAAATATATATATATATATTTTTTTTTTTAAGGGGCTCAGCCATTGGGACAGAATTTCAGAGGCTGTGTGTGTTCACAGTGTTGCTTTATTCTGAATAAAACAGGTAAACAGTGAACAATGGAAAGCAATCCATTCATGCATTTCCCCTTTTGGGCACATTCTTACTAAAACAAACTGTGGACAGGTATTTAGGATAACAGAAAATAAAACTGCAAAATATACTTACGTCTACACTTGTAACCTTGCTTGTTAAGACCCCTGGGAAGCAAAAGACAAAATGATAAGTACGCCTGTTTTATGAACTTCTTACATCTTACTGAATAATCAGGACTGACCAAACAAAATCTCTGCAGACAGAGCAGAAGGTGGGCTGTCTGAAGAAAGTGGCAATGAACTCATGGTTTTTGATGAAGTGAATCTTTGCCTGCTTAATAGCTCCACGACGACGATTGAGAGTTGGTGCCTCCTCTTCTGACACTATTGACTGACGACAGTCTGCGCAAAAGAGAAAAAACAAAAACAAGATGGAAGCAGAATTGAAGTTGATGACAGGAACTTTTTAACAGTAATTTAATAAAATCTTTATAATAATTAAATTAATATTTTGTATATACACATACAATATATATTATTCATTTTGTATTTCTTGATTAAAATGTTTTGACCAACTTTTAAATTGTCAACATTGTTTCCTTCTATTTTTGAACAAGCATCTCATGTAAACGTCACCTAAGAAACACACCCAACTGGGATCAAGTGAATCCACAACCAGCCTAATTATACTGTGCAGGGCTTCTTTAAGTCTGAATAATCAACTCACAGATTAGCCAGCACCAAAAATATACTACTGTTCAAATGTTTGGGGTCAGTAAGATTTATTAAAGGAATTCTTTTATTCAGCAAGTATGCATTAAATTGATCAAAAATGGTAGTAAAAACTTTTACATTGTTACAAATATTTGTATTTTAAATAAATGCTTTTCTTTTAAGAATCCCGAAAAAAATATCTCCACAAAAACATTAAGCAGCTCGAGTGATTTCAACTGTAATAGTGAGAAGAAATGATAATTCAGAAACAAATTAGAATGATTTCTGAAAGATTATGTGACACTGAAGACTGGAGTAATGGCTGCTGAAAATTCAGCTTTGCCATCACAAGAGAATAAGTTACATTTTATAATATATTCAAATAGTTTTCACAGTTATTTTAATTAACATTATTTCACAATATTACTGTTTTTACTCTATTTTGATCAAATAAATGCACCTTGGTGAGCATGAGGCATTTCAATGGCGATGTAATTTTGCACTTAATTTTGCAAATCTGCAGTTACAGGGGTCCTATTATGCTTTTTCACTTTTTTAATTTTAGTCAGTGTGTAGTGTGTATGTTTGGGCATAAAAAAGATCTAGAAAGTTACAAATCTCAAAGTCCACTCCAAAGGGAGATATTTCGTTTTTAAAAAATCCCTTTTCAAGAACTACAACGAACGGCTCGTTTGGACTACAGCGTTTGTTTTCCGGGCTTTGTGATATCACAAAGCGGCCCATTAGAATATCATAGGGGCGAGGTTGTGGTTAGAACGCTTGGTTGAGTGCATCAGACGAGACGATGAAGAAGTTCATCAAAGCCGGAACTAATCGAGCCGTTTGTGCCAGGATGGGAAGAAAGGTATTTTAATAATGTAAATTATGTGAAAAATAATGCGTTTTTCGAAACACCAAGCATGAGAGCATGTTCTAGTACACCCCCAAAACAAAATCAAGACTTTGTAAAAGAGCATAATAGGACCCCTTTAAATATTTTGTATTCGAAAAACAATAAAACACAAAAAAGAAGAGACAGATAGAATGTTTGAAGAAGTCCCAGTGTAACAGAGGGACAAGCTGTTCTGACACGTTCAACAGAGACATTCCTGTGCAAAGAACTTTAAAGGTAGTCCAAATGGATTCACACACGCCCATACACTCAACCCCTCCCACCGCTAACGGCAATAGGTTAGATTCAAGCAGGGGTTGAAACATCTTTTGAGAAGGAGTTCAAGGTGGCACTAAGGTAAAACGCCCATTATTGCTGCTCTAACTCAGGGTGGATGTACTACTCAGGGTGGATGTACTAAGTAAACTGGTTGAGCATAATATGAATAACTCCCTTTAAATCTAGTAGTTTTTATAGAAATTGTATTTTTATGAGAGTGGCAATCCAGTCTCAAGTTAATCATTCTTTTAGTTGTGTTTTGTAATGATTCTTTTAGAGCGTTTATTTAATTGTGATCGTGTCTTACCTGTATCTGTATCCTCCAAAAAGAACTGTACAGCCATCATAACCTTTCCTGAAGGCTGCAAATCAACCTGAAAATGAAGCAAGACTATAACATTACCTGTAAATGTACAAACACTGACACTCATACAAATGTATAGACATAACCACATTGTCACATACCCAAAACTCTGCACGTCCATTTGCCTTCTTGCATCGTTCTGCCAACACAGACACACCCACAGTAACTTCTGCTAAAGGTTCCTCTGCGGTTCTCATGAGTAGTATTTGTATGACACGTCCCTCATAAATATGTGCATCAAAAGTGGATCGCCAAGCAGGATACATGGTGGGCTTCTTCTGGATCAATGTTTTTCCTCGCTCTTAAAGGGAAAGGGGGACATTTTTGATTAACTCTGTTAACTCATGCCAGTTTTGATACATTAATCATCCAGAAAAATTATATTAAACATAGCAAATGATAGCGCTTTTAGTCACATCGAAATTAAGGTCAAGTATGAGAACATTGGATTGTGGGAAACAATATTCTGTGCAGTGAGCTCTGTTCTAAACTACTCATTTGGCAAAATAAAGCAGGTTATCCAGTTCTCTACAGATGGAGGATTTGCATGTTGTTCTGTGTACATACAGTATACTGCAAAAAACTGCGCAAGATGCATGGCAGTATGCCATTCCAAACATAGCCATGCACTTGAAACCCATTACACACACATAACCGCATACGCATTTACTCACCAGTGCTGAGAGCTTCTTTCATTTTGACGGCACAGAATGGTGCCTCAGCCATTGGCGAGAATGTGCCAAGATCATAGGCATTAAACGCAATCCTCAGGAAAGGGGCCATGGCAACCCCTCAGGCACAGCCTTAAAAAAAGAATCAGACAAGCAAAATTCATATGACTTTTCTGATGCGTTTGGTGATATGTTCAGTAAAGCAGCCAAACATCAGCATTGCTGCATATAGCAATAAAGAAAAAAACAAAACAAACCATTTTTGTAATCATATTTTAATATGTAATCATAATTTTGTAATCATAAACAGAAACCTATACTTTGTTGCCTGCAGAGAAAACTGTTTAGTCTTATATGGGATCTTAATGTTAATTTCTGCGCCTGTTCTATCGTTAAATCTAATAGTTGCTCTGTTGCTCTCTTAGTAGTTTTGTAATGTTTTGTTATGTTACTTGTAATCAGTTATCACCAAAAATAGTCATCCACCCTCTCTCTGACCTTTAGTATTAATAAGGACTTTTTTTCTGTGCCTTTGAGGCTTCAATGTAAACGCCCTTTTAGATGTAAATGAGATTGAGTGCTTCACTGTATTTTCTCAAAAGCTGCTGCTCTGTTGGTTCAGAAAACAATCCATGCTGAAATGATCAGACTGACATGATCAGTGACCCTGAAATAAAAATACTTGAGCTGCAGTTTCTAACACTGGGATTCTTCAAAAAGGTATGTAAAGTGGCAGGTGCTACACACAACCAAAACCATTACAATTTAACTCTTCTCATTAGTATTTCCAGTGTTTAGAAGTATAATACTTCCTTCGTATTACCTCACACTGAATGGGGGGACCAAATTGTTATGTACCAAAAATAGACATTGATGTGTTACTGCAGGCTTCAGAACATCAGAAGGTGTTTTAGGAATAAATCTGAAATTTGGATTTCTGAAGGTTACAGTTATGTTCTACATGTTCGACATCAAAATCCATTTACAAAGATTTAATTTTCATATGATGACATACTTAGTGTATGCAAATTGTCTTTGTGTAAAAGCATGGTTAACCTAAACTGTTAGTGGTTAAACTAATAGCTACCAAGACTTGCTTTGATGTGCTTTTTAAATAGAACCCCAATGACTAAGATTAAATAAAAATATAATTAAATGCAAATAAAATATATATTTCAATATAATATATTTCAATGCCTTTTTGCAGTTCTTTGGTTTAATTCTCATGCAACAGGACCATGTAGAAAAAGGGTTCCTGGTCATCTGTAACATTACCCTTCACTCATCATGTTTATTTCTATTACACGATTTTGCTTTATTATTGTGGATCAGAACATTTGGAACATGACCCAGATGAGGTTTATAGGTTTATAATTGATCAGTTTTGTATAACATAAGGACTCCACCCACTGCCGAAAGCCAATGACATGACTCAGGCTTTGACTGCAACAGAATCTTCATAACAAACTTGCTTGTTGTATTGCAGTGACTGTATTTAGACTGCATTACTACAGAGTGTGTAAGAATAAGAAAGACAGGGAGAGAGAGATTTGAACACACCCATACATACAAAAACACACTGCTGTAGTTCAATTAGGAAGGGCACTTTTGGAAACATGTCTGAAACCAGCACAGAAATGTCCAAACACGTTGCAGCTTCTCATTCAAAAACCTAAATCTCTGCTTGTGTTTGTGTATATGTGTGTGTTAGAGCTAGCGAATCAGTGGTGTGGAAGAATGTGTCAATAACATAAGCTTGCAGCACAGTACGAAATCGATTTTGAAACTAGTCAGAGTCTCTCTAGATGATCACATATACATCATTAATCCTGCTCAGCCAAATTCAGCCAAAAAATAAATAAATAAATAAATAAAATTAGAAGAGCCTGTGGACCTGAGTTAGTATTGAATTTATTTAATACACGAGTTTCACAATTTGAGTTGAATTACTGAAATAAATGAACTTTTCCACGACATTCTAATTTATTGAGATGCACCTGTATGTGTGAAAATGAGTGATAGAGAGAAGGAGAGAGACAGCGAGGGTGGTATGTTGGGTAGGCAGGTGTGGTTAAGAGGCTCCATGTGCTTTCCTGAACATAAGAAGTTAAAATGTGTGCTAAGAGAATGTTTGTTCTCATAAGCCTTATGATAAGCCATAATAGGAGCTGAAACACAATTACAAGGGTGTAAGAAGTGTGTGTTTGTGTGTGCATGGCCTTGTTAGGTAAACTAGTACTACTGCTCAAAGGATTAGTGGTTTGTTCAAATCCCTAACCCCAAGTATTGAACTACTTATATAAGAATACTCCACCCAAAAATGAAAACTCTCATATCATTTACTCATCGTCATGTAGTCCCAAACCTGTATGATTTTCTTTATTTCTCAATAAGATATTTTGAAGAATGTTAGCAACCAAACAGTTTTGTTTTCCATTTGTATTGTTTGACTTTGTATTGTTTATGGGAACTGAAACAGTTTGGTTAGCAACATTCTTCAAATTATCTTCTTTTCCTATGTTCCACAGAGGAAAAGGAAGTCATACAGGTTTGTGAGTACTTGAGGATGAGTAAATGATGACAGAATTTCCATTTATGGGTGAACTATCACTTTAGGAGTTTAACTGATCTTGCACTGTTTGGCTACAAATGGTGCCACTTAAGGAGATTGAGGTGTTCTACATATTTGGATTTTATTTCATAAATACTTTTCAGTGTCTTAATTTGACTTGCCCAGTACGCAACCACCTAGAAACCACCTAGAACACCCTATCAACCATATAACAATCGGAAGACCTTAGCAACTGCATAACTGAAATCTAGTTGCATATAAAGCATATAAGCAAAATTCTGATGGAATTATCAATATGTTATCAAACTCACTGTAGCCAATTGCTTTAAAGTGCATGAAATACATAATTCTTGCACACCAATTCTGGAGTCTTTCAGTTCACTGATGTCAAAAGGAACAGCAGGTTTCATCACTCATGTCCACAGTAATACACACAACATCTAAAGTACGGGACAGGAAGGAACTATCGACACCCTTGAACAGAATGAAAGAGTGGTATGGTGTAAACTGTTCAACCACAGCAGGATGTGTCTCCATGGCAGAGTTATCACGTCAGACAAAAGCAGGTGTAGTGATGGATAGTTATTATTAAAGGAAATTAACTGAAATCTGTCTACAAACCACCGACAACAATTAAAACAGTAGATAATTACTGTAAAATGTGACATAACCCTTTCCACCATGCCCCAATACACACACACACACACACACACACTCACTCAGTCATCTCAACCAGAACCACGCTCCATCTGTTTTGTGTAAAGGATCAATAATCATTGATATTTTGTACAGGACCGTGTCAGTGGTATTTTAGACCCCTCAATGTCACAAACTGGAGTTATTTATGGACTAGAAATAAAATGTGATAATTCACTAATAGTATTTATTTTTACTAACAGTTGTGTAACAAACTACCTAGTCTTTGTACATCACAGGCGCATGCAGCATTTTTGAGTATCACCAGCTGACTGCGAACTCGTCTGTAATGTATCAAGTGCTGTCTAGGTAGGTCACTAGATTGAGACACAACCTCTGTTGCCTTTACAACTACGGAGAAGTGTTGTCTAGCAAGACAAAGTGTGAAAACGCCGATTCTGTCAAGGTCCAGTAACGGACAGCGGCGTTCACGAAAGTGTTGTGTGAAAGTGCGCCCTTTTCATATCATTCTAACAGACTAAAGATATGTTTAAGCTTTTTTGGAAAACATAAAGTCATAAAAAACACTGAGGAGGAGAAGGATTAAAGTCTAAAACACAGACTGCCTCCGCGGTCGTCGCTCGAATCCGTTCAGCGCATCAATCGGGAAAAAGCAGCGAAGAAAATGAGTCAAACACTCTAAAACGCATCATCACCAAAGTTCCGTCACGACCAAACAATATTCGATCCAAAAAAAAAACAACGAAGCGCTGCTAACTTCTTACCTCTCCTCCGGAAGAAGCGGACTTTTCTCTGAGACGCCTGCTCGCTTCAGTGATTGAGCCGTTTGAGGAAGTAAGTACAAATCGCTCGTGGAGTTCTGAGTAAAGTAGGGCAGAGTGACGTCGCACAGGTGCTCTCTTTTTCTTCGCGCGATTCCTCTTCTGCCTCGCGCGCGCGCTCAGATGACACTTTGATAAGCCAGTGCGCTGAACAGAGAGCACAGGTGCGTTTGTAGCGCATATAACAGTCCATCCAGTGTGTATGTGAGTGACCTCTTTGCAAAGGGCTCATGTGAAGGGCAGGCACTGGCAGTGTACCTCTAGATGCCCCACTATTGAGAGCAAACCTATGGCAAGCCATTTCAACATATATTCCGTATTCTTTTCATTTATTTCTTCTTATTGTTTGCAACTGTTCCGATAATTATTAGTATATATTCTAGTAGTGGCTCGTAGCAAATAAGTATAGTATGTAATGAAGAAGTACTAGTGACTAATTGGCTACAAATCACTATTGGAATAATGTTTTCATAAAGTTCCCTAGTCGGAAATTGGATGTGAATGGACTCTCAAGTCGTTTTTACAAAGGGGAAGCTAGATAATTTTGATACCACTGATGGGCCCTAAGCTTAAAAGATGGGGGAGGACAGAATTATGGCTTTAGTTTTTTTTTTTTAAGTTATATTTTTGGCTTTGTATGCCTTTATTTTTGATAGGACAGTAGAGAGTTTGACAGGAAAGCATAGGGCAGAGAGAGGAGAGCTTCAAAGGACCTTGAGCCAGGAATCAAACTCAGGTCGCCGGAGGCACAGTTGCGCTACATGTCAGTGCAGGGGCGCTGCTATGGTTTCTGGGAACAGCATATTGACTCGGACCCCCAGCATCGCATTTCAGGGGGATCGCATTAGGGCCCCCTCGCCTTCACCAGGCCCTTGGTGTCCTCCATGATTCATATTCTTTCCAGCAACAAAGAACTTGAATGTGACAAACTTGTTATTACAGTTTCAGAAGTGGGAAGCAGAAAATTTCTGATAGCACATGAAGGCAGCATAAATACTAGCACTGAATATTTAGTTACATTTAAAACAATACTAGCGCTAATTTTTAACAAAACCGTGATAATATTGATAACCGTGATAACTTTGGTCACTATAATCGTGATATGAAATTTTCATACCGTTACATCCCTAGCGCTAATACATAACAGTAATATTACAGCTACGTAGGCATACTGGTAACACAAAATAAGATATTATTATGCATTAAATGTTAAAGCAGCTTGCCACATGTGCCAGCATTCTGTCCACAGCTAGACACACATGCAAAGAGAAACAGTGATTGTGTTGGCTGGTGATTTATAGATAGTTTACTCAAGAGGCATTGAGATGAGAAACAGATCTTGTGTCTGGTTTCTATATTGCGTTCATGGAATATTACCTATAAAACATACACTGAAAGGTCACATAACTGTGGGTGTTAAGGACACAAAATGTGAAAAACGACATCCTTCTGTGTGTGTGCTTGTAGTCTTGTCCTGCTTTCCTCTTCTTGGTCCGCAGTACTGTGGAGTTTATGTCCTAGATTTAAGTGTGTGGGTGAGATTTAAAAAAAGCAAAGAAACAACAGTATGTTGCAGAGCCTATGTGTGTGTAGATCTGGTGCAGAATTGGAGGAGGTGAGGGAGCTGTTTTGCTACACCTTATCTGTAATCGAGCACATCTACACAGATTAATGGTGTATTGTTATAGTATATGTAAAATAATCAGAGTACCAATTAAATGATATTTAATAATTCGTCTTTGTCTTCTTTGTTTATGAAAAGAACATCAGATAAATAGCCCAACTAAGTACATGGATGAATTAGTTTTAGTGTACTGGTGCGCATATAGAGAAGTTTACAGTGCTGCATAAACTTTGCGTCTGACATATTTCACACAAAGATGCACACACTCTGTAAACAGCTGTCTGACAGATCGGTATGCCTTATATGTCAGTTTCCAGCAGTAAAACAGAAGTCACATTTCTTCCCCTTCTCACCACAAACCAATGAAAAGAGTGTAAGTAGTACTCTGTAACATTTTAAGTAGAATTACACATTTAAGTGTACATTTATAAACAGCACCAAATAAAAGGGAAGTGGAAATATGAAAAAAATAAAAAATATAAAAAAATTTTTTTAAGAGATCATTTCCTGTGTTTTAATAGTAGATCACGGCAGCTGGCAGGGGCACTTTCATTGTACAGAAAGAGAGCAAAGAACATTTACATTATCAACTCTCATTAAAATCACTGAAGCTGTTTACACTATGAAATTAATATCTTACAGATTCGTACACACATTTGCACTTTGTTGTTTCTGACGAGAGAATTCGCCAGAAAAAGGTATTCAGTCAGTGAGCAAGTGAAGAAAACACCGGCATTTTAACGATGACTCGTCTGAACACCTCTGATTGGCCATTGCATTCAGAAGCTCAACAGCATCGTGTGTGATTGGTTAATACACAGTGCTGTAAAAACGCGTCTGTCTCCGGCTCAACGCCAGCCAGCGAACGCAGATTTGAATTTAGCTGCTGATGAGATGAGGCACTGAAGTTATAATCACGGCCGGTGTGATTGTATTAAATATAGAAAATATTAATCGGCTATTTTTTTGTCTTTTGGAAGCTGCATTCAAAATCCACTTGGCTCAAAAATCTGAATGGATTTCACTTTGAATGGGCATGACGCCTCTGGCTGGCATGATTTAGAAAATGAGAGATTCCTTATATATTTATGTCCCTACGCAATGTTAGATGTTAGACTGGGTAATTTACCTCAGATAGATCAAGAAAAGAATAGATAATGCTTTTATCTATTGTAGGAAAATGAGGGATCTTTTCCTCCCCCTCTCTTGATCACTCTGCTGCAATGCAGAGGAACATAAGACACTTAAGACCCAAAAGTGTCACGACAATGTCACTGTGACACTGCCACAGAATCATACACACTCTCACACACATTTTCTCTCAATCTCTCTAGATCAGCAGTGAAATTTTCTTGGTCTAGAAATATGAAAGAATAAAAACGTGTATTCTATCATCTTTGACCTTTACATGCATCTTAATTATGATCTTTCTTTAATTTATTATATGACCTAAAAAGATTAAACTGTTTATAATTTACAATTTATTTATTGATAATTTATTTTAATCTATATTAAAAGCCATGCGCAGTAATTACTATTCTCATGTAGGCAATTTCTGTGGTATAGGCCTAGGTCTCATGTGGAGTGGGTTGGCCTACAAGCAGCCTAATTAGAGATGGTTTGATTAACAATTATAAACTCAAACACACAGCTACTTATCATTAACTCAGTGCGGTCAAGTACTTTGAAGAAGCCTACTTAGGGCTGTGTGGAAGCACTCATGCACTCAAATCGGAGTATAGTCTGTTACTAGAAAGGTAGGTTCTAGGGATGCACCGATACCACTTTTTCCAGTACTCGCCCGATACCGATACCAGTATCGGTATCGGTGCATCCCTAGTAGGTTCCAAGCTTGAACCATCCAGCACTTTAACTGGCTTTTAATTCTCTCGGTTTCGTTTTCTTATATACATTTTAATACCAGTTTTTAAATGCAGAGCTGATTCAACGAGACTTTCAAGTTATGTAATCAAAAATGGACTCTATTTACATTTTTAATTGCCTGAAATCTAAAAGGTGCTGTCTTCATTAACTATTTTACTTTTGGCTTACGTCATTGAGCCCCTCCCACTGACCGCATGTCATATATAGAATCCACACCCAACTGCTAGTGGTCCTTTCTGTTATTTTCATGGTATGAAAAAGGTTTAAATTTGTATTTAAAAAAAAATCTCATTTCGTTTATATCTTTTCACCTTATAAATATGTCGCATTCACGAAGAATGAAATTGGTTGCGTATGATTTTGTTGAATAAGGCATAACTACCGTTGTAAATCTGTGGTAAAAACTAAAGCACAAACCTTGTTCAGAGAAGTGAAGCGTCAACTACATACGCCCCCGCAAGAGAACAATTCGTCCTCTTTAATAAAGAATCTGCAAAACAAGCAACCTAGATAGCATCAGCTGCATATGCTTCCAAAATGTCCAGCTACCTAACGTGCGGCTGCCATGTAATCAAAAACCTTGCCAACTGCTGGATTTATAGTTAAAGTCGGTTTAAAAATTACATATAATGCTGCAACATGTTATTATGAAGTTTAGGAGTTCTTTAAACTCTCTCTCTCTTTTTTTTTTTTTTAGTTTCTGAATATGCAAATGTATGTTATCTAAGAAAGAACAATGAT